CAACCAAATTTTTTTGGTGTGATCAATATCCAGTAAGTAAAGTCTTATCACATTTAAAAAATCAAGAAAATCGGTTTGAATATGGCGCCGCTTCGTCCATGGTTTCCTTTCTGGCCACAGAGGTGCTGTGTGTAACATCCATGTTGGCCAAACACACTGGGCACTGCCATTACAGTGCCCTTAATGAAGAAAAACTAGTTTTAGTGGAGTCTTAAGGAACTTTAGTGTTTAAGGAACTTAGCAAGCCTGATAAAGAGTAGTGAATTAAATGATTACTGTACCCATATTTACTCAAGAACACCATCACCACAAACTACGCCCATGATAAGGCCTAAAACAATTGACATATTTCTATCATCATTTCTGGTTTCATATGCCTCATTTATTGAGTGGCTTTCACACGCATTTAGTTATAGGGGGAACATTGAAATTTGCATAATGAATATATAACATCCATAAAATAAGTTGTACATGCACAAAGAAAAGCTTTTGTAAAGGAACTATTCGTATTTGGAAATGTATGCGTGTTGCTAAAACATTGAAGAAATTGGAAAGGGCAATCCTCCTCACATGGCACTGGAACCTTACCCTCCCCTATGGCCGAAGTGTTGGTCGGCAATTTATATTGAATAATCTCCCTACCTATGATTTTAACAACTGTCCAAATAATGTTTTAGGCATCAAGTTCAACCAAGGTTATAAACATGCTGATATTGTTTCTCAACAACTTGTCACTATTCACAGTGAATATATATGAGGTTTAGTAGACAACCAATCGCAGGTAAACTGGGGTGTTTTATGTCTACCGGGATTGAGAGTGGCAAAGGTGTACCAGGTATACAAAGATGGGAAGAGACTGCAAACTTGACACAACTGGTTATGTATGATCACACACTGTATGATAATAATATATTGTACTCATTAACACTCACAGGATTCACACAGCACGGTGAGTGTAGATTGACAATACTGACTAACAGTTTGAAGTGGAAGAGATTGTACATTTATAATTTCTTCCATACTTTCACTCACTACAAGCTCTTCCATCAGTTGTTTTAGCATACAGACCATTATATCAAGGTTTATAGATTTGAAACCTTCATATAATGGACTATACCTGTTCATTAGTTTGATGTCTGTTAATTGGAGATTTTACTGAAATAACTGGTGTTTGAATATTATATATCATCCAACAAGCTTCAACTTTCTCAAAATAAAACTGAACTTACCTTAATCGGTAGATATTGATGGCTCTGGCTGGCCGATCCTTCAATTTGTGGTGGATCTTGACAGCTCTGGCTGACTGATCCATCCTTCTGTGGCGGGCCTTTTCTTTCTTCATCGGGAGGCTGGTCAGGCTCCACCACGTCTCCCTCAGGTACATTATCCTCCACTAATTTTAAAAGTTGAACATCAGTCCAAGAATAAAGACTGACCCATATTTGTTCCTTTTGTTTGCGATTTAACTCAGCGAGAACTTCTTGTAGATCAACAGTGCTACGTTTACTTCCCTGACACAAAGTATAAAATAATTAGACAAAAATAGAGGTAAAATTATCGTTTCGGTCATCCAGCAATTTTAGGGGAATTTAAGTTTTGGAATCAGTAGTTTGAGAATTCTAAGACACCTTTATTCTACAGCATTTCTTCTGTTTGTGATTACTTTCAGAGAAAATAGCAAAAAATAGGGTTTGGGTTGGGAAAAATCACAAAAAGTAGTAATTTGTGATAGAACTGAATGTCAGAATAATCCAAAACCTAACCTTGAACCTCACCTTAATTAGACTCAGAAGACTCCGAGTTAGGGTCATGAGATCCTTCTCCTCGTCACCCACAGGTCCTTTTACTTGCCCTCTTTTCTCTGAAACCTACTGGTATACCAAGCTGTGATTGGTTGATCCAAAATCATATCAACCAATCAATGTCCAGAGAACAACTGCGCATGTGTAATGAGGATAGTAACCAATAAGCGAACACAGAGGAGCTCTCTTGGACGATTGAAACAATAACAAGAACTTGGAAAAAATAAGAAGATTTCCAACAATTTATTGCAATTTTCTCTGAAAGTAATAATGAACAGAAGAAATGCTATTGAAGAATAGTGTCTTAGAATTTTCTAAACTACTGATTCCAAAACTTAAAATCCTAAAAATTGCTGGATGACTGAAAAGATAACACCAAAATAGAAAATACAAGTCAACACCACAAGCTGATATAGTAGTGGAAACATATAGTACATGTATCCTTGATAATCGTTGAGGTTAGGTTCCAGAAAACTACCGTGATAAGCAAAAGTGTACATTTGAAACACAACATAAGGGAAAAATTAGTTTTGTCCAACGACCCCAAAGATGCATCCCTAAACTGACCAAAATATACCCCCAAAAACGTGTAGGCGCACTAAAGATATAATACTAGTAACATATATTTACTAATTAATGAATAAAAAATAAAAAATCGACAGTACTGTACAATATTGTATTATCAATGAAAGTCACAGTAGAATGAGAGGCAGTGTCTCAGTGATATGCAGTGGGTGGGAGGGAGAAATGTGGGAGGGATATTGTGCAGTGGACATCGTGCTAATCTGCTCTGGTGATAAAGGAGGTAGTGGTGATGATCATGGAGCTGGTGCTAGAGGGAGAGAATAAGTGGCGAGGAGATGACGAGTCACTCAGTTTGTTTGGAAACACTGACTGCCACACTGCCAGACACAACAGAACAGCTGATGTCCACCCACAAAAATTGATTGTACAGTAAGTCCTCGCTTAACGTCGGGCCGCTTTAAGTTGTTTCGGTACTGTGTCGCTAAACTTTAGAGACCAAAAATTCGTTTAACGTCCCTGTGACTCGGTCCAACGTCGTTTTGCGTCATCATGGACTACTTTTTTCAGCGGTTCACCCTCTTTCATCTGGCAGGGGAACGTCACTGCGTCCCCAAGCACTGCCAGTCTTTGTTAGGCTTCCACAGTATTCTTGAGTGTTTAAGTGTTTTTGCTCTTAATAGTGTACTGTAACCATTCAAAATGGCTTCCAAGTGCCCATCAAGTGCTACTGATGCTAGTGTTGTGAACAAGCAACGTAAGACCATTAGCCTTGCTACAAAAATAGAGGTTTTAAACCTTTTGAGAGGGAGAAGGAGCTACCCGCCAGGTCTCAGTGAATTGCCACCCTCCTGGCTCCGGCCATCCGTCTCCACCGCTTCAGTACCCACCACACACTCGCTGAACCACCTCCACCCATTGGTGAATGCCAATACCAACTTAGTAGTTGTATATGCATGCACTGTTTTCTATAGAAATGGCAATGATTTTCTGTACATGTAGTGTATATCATGGGGCAAAGGGAGGCTCAGGAACGTTAGTCCCGTATTTTATCCATTTCTTATGGGGAAAATTTATCTGCTTAACTTTGTTTCGTATAACGTCGCATTTTCAGGAACGTAACCCCGACGTTAAGCGAGGACTTACTCTAAGTATAAATGAGCAACACTGTATCCCCGCATAGTATGAGCTTGGCACATGGGTACCTAACTCTGAGGTAGTAATGAGGTGATTGATAAAGAGTGTCTCTGGTGGGTGGGTGAGTGAGTGAGGCAGGTGGTATGCCACACAGTAGATGATAGAAGCAGTGATGCGGGTTGGCACGTGACAGTGTCACGTGCCAACCCGCGCCACACGAACTCATCACTTACCCATAATGCCTCCACATCAGCTGCGACTAAAACAATCAGGAGTGATGGGCGAAGTTCATCTTGACAGATGAAGGCAACGCCCCCTCCATGTCCATGTGAATGAAGGTGATGAAAGAGTTGATATCCCTCAATGTGGCATGTTTCAGGAACAATTTGTCAAGCTTCGCATATAGCAGCGACGTTGGCGGCAGTTGATTGGACTGTGGTTGCCAATTTGTCAAATTTGTTTGCTAAGGAAGTGAAGTTGGAGAGCAGTAAGGAGGGGAGATCGTACCATATTCGGGGAACTTCAGTGTATTGGTACAGTCTGTCGGGAGTAGGTTTCTCTGGTTTTCTAGTGGAGGTAATGGTCCTAATGGGCCTTCTATTTATGACATCCTTGTTTACAGCTGCAAGCATGGAATACGTTCAATGATTTAAGTCGTGCAATAACACTGCCACGGGGATATCCAGGGCACATCTGGAGTTTGTCACTGGTGGGAATCTGTTAATATCTGTTGTTGTGGACGAACAGAAGTGTTTGTCCGCGGCGGGCATAACCTCAATGGCGGCACTTTGAGGGCCCCTGACACTAGTTAATATTTGTCTCGTCATAAACACTGCGAGTCCTTGTCTCTGGCACTAAGAGGTCATCGAAACAGTACTCACGGTATATGTACAGTAAACACCGCGGTGGTCCTTGTCACTGGCACTTTGAAGTTGACTGACAAGGTGTCCACAATCTGGTATAACACTGCTGTGAATCATGCCTGTTTTTGTGTTTTTCCTTGGAATACATTAATGGTCCAATCATTACTCTGATAACTTGAATGTTTTGCTGATAAATCCCGGTGTAGTGAGGTAGGTAAGGAGTCGGGCTATAATGGGAGGGAAAGGGGGGGGGGGGGTCAGGGCCAAACAGGCTTGGCCTGGCTACCAATCATGATTACCTATAGGACACGTCTTGTCTCACGGAGGGCTGTGTGTGTGTGTGTGTTCACTTTCAAACTTGACAGTTAAATGTCTATCTTTCCTTCCACATTTGTTTGTTAATTAGTTGTTCACTGCATGTAGACCACCATTCATTTTGTACAATTTGATCAAACATAACCAACCATAATTATCTGAAAGTGGATGGCAAAAAATCTCATCGTCAAAACATCCGATTGCCCAGACTGGAATTATTCAAGTGGGATGACACCTACGGTAGTTGATCACCAAAACCTTAGTGTTAATGACAATAACTCAACCATGTCCATAATGTAGTATGTTACACTCCCCAAAACTTTAGTGGCAGTGACTATACCTCAACCATGACAATAACGTATGACACTGAAGTTTTAAGTGCATGACTGAATAAAAGAGTGAGGTATACAACTTACATAGTGTTGGAGGATTGTAAGGAAGGCAGCATGGTCAGCTTGTTCTACTGCCTTCAAGAACTCTTGTTTAGCCATGCTTCACACTTATAATCTGCAAATATGAATAATTTAAAACAAAAGTAATGTACCTTAAAATGTTTGCAATATCATGAAAGATATTCCCAAAATATTTTATCATATACTGTACCTAACCAAGCCTGAGTAAGTTAATACTGCATTGTCCAACCTACAGTAAGTAGCCATCATACAGTAAAGATAATAATACAACTTTGGTGGTAAAGCATCGTAACAAAAATCCATCAGAGGTTGTAAGGTATCCAGTAAATCTGCATGAAAACCTTACAGTACTGAATAAATATTATTATTATTGTTAGATTATACCAAAAAAAAATCAGATTTAAATACAAAAAAAAAACCAGACCGAATTGGTAAGAGCTATAAGATGATGGGTCAGTTAAAATGTGTGTACCATACTGTACACTACTACACTGTTTAGTATGGCATGTGTGTGTCTGATCAGGCCCTACACTAAGTAAAAAAGAAGTAATTGTTACTACAATATGTCCAATATTTTATAATGTGTACTATCAAAATTTTCTTTGTGATTTAGTGTTTTTGTATATTTAAGTGAGGTTAGGTTAAGTAGACTAAATATATCATTCTAAGTGCACGCTATAGCTAGTAGCACCATGAAGTCTCCATTTATATCTTGAAAAAGATGCAGAAGCCATTAACAATATTCATTGAAGAGTACCTACATTAATATCAACATGAAGAGACCTGACACGAAGAAATAGTAATATCAAATAACCCAATAATTCTCCTTAAACTAATATAGCTACACAAGATCCTGGGGAGACCAGATTAAATATTTCAAGATCACAAGAGAAATGTACAACACAAAGATACTGGAGTTACCGGATGTCATGTGTTTGTCAAGTGAAACCCGTTATAATAGGACGAGATAAAAAGATCAGGAATTAATATTAGTAAGAATGTCTTTAACCCATGACAGTGGTTCCTGTCCGTTCATCTGTATTTCTGATAGCTATTCTAATTGGTTATGGCTGGTGACATCATTATGCTTCCTTGATTACTGAATGTGGTCACTTGCAAATACATATTACCTAAGTTAATCTAACCATACCAAGCCTAACTAAACCAAACCAAACCTAAGTTAATCTAACCAAACCCAACCTAACCAAATCAAACAATCTAATATAAGCTAACTAAACATAATTACTTGTATACCAAACCTAACCTAACCATACCGTTCTAGAAGGTTGCTCGTTAACCGAAAAACTCGTAAACAGAAACCATTGTTTCATCAATGGGTTTTTGGGTAATTGGTTCCAGCTCACCAAAAATTGCCTAAATTCAACAAAAAAGGTAGAAAAGTACACTTACTTTGAGGTGTGTATGTAGATTATTTTATCCTAGTGTTTAAGCCTGTTTTCATCACTGTCAAGAAGTTAAGGAGTGAGTGTGTGTGTGGAGTAGAAGGATGGGTGGGGGGTGAATGGGGATGGGTGGGAGAGTGGAAAGGTGGGTGGGGGGGTTAGAATCGCAGCCGTTTACACTTACTATACAAACTTAAATTAATGACGATAATTTCATACATGTAAACCAAGAGTTGACCCATAGTCTTCAGTCATGATCAAGCTTTTCATCAACTATTTATGCATAATGTACAGTACCTAAAACAACTATCTGTGCATACTTTGTGGGAAACAATTATGAGACCATGGACGATAAATTTTGGTATATGAAGGCTGTCACTAGTCACATGTAAAATTTCCGAGCATATCGACCCCCACCTGTACAGACAGTTGTTTTAGCCACTGTACATAATTAAGCCATAACTGAAAACTGCAGCACATACCTCCACCCATCTCATCTCGACCCCATCACCCGATCTCCACCCCATCACCCCACCCTTTCTCTAACTTCAGAACTTTCCCTGAGCTTAACACACCAGAGGAAACTTTCGCCTACAAATGGGTAAAAGTAACATTGACCCATAAGGAAAACAAACTAGTATAGATCCACTGCCTCCCGAGTCGCTGAGGGAGAGAAATCTTCTCTTATCTATGTGACGGGTGGAAGTTCCCTGGGAGGTCCGAAACGTTTAAATGTCTAATGGCAAAAACTATACACTGTAGGCCGTGACGCTGGTGAAACAGGGAAGGTGATGGAGGTGGGGTGGGGTCAAGTCAATGCAGGTCAGGTTGGATAGGTTAGGTTTGGCCATATTCTTTTAGGTTAGGTTAGGTACCGTAACTTTCCCCACCAATCACCTGTTTTGGGAATTTTTCTGGTGGTGGTTTTAATTTCTCGTGATTTAGTTAAAAATATCCACGGTGATATTTTTTCTATCAATCTGTGGCGACGTTAATGACAGCTCCATATCCTCTCACGCTAATCTTCTTCCCTTCATTACTACATCTTCTTAGGTCTTTATTCACTCAAGTTCCCACTGAAGCTTCTCTCCTGCCTCCGCATTTTACCTCACTGATCTGAACTTACCAAACTTACGAACACTCTTCATCAAATATATGTTGCAGGAATTTCTAGTCATGTTGGGGATTTTTTTTCCGAAAATAAGGTAAGTTACTTGAGGTTACGTACTAATTTAACACTATGATGAGTTGTATTATTGAAGAAAAAAATTGTTACACCTAATATTAAAAACAAACAATGGCGAAATCACCCAAACAATGACCAAATCCACCTTCAAAACAACAATATATAAGCATCAAAACTTAGACAGACAGACAACAAATACATGTCCTCGTAACTGACTCAGAGGGGCTGGGTAGTGTTACAGCGCCTCTGGTGGCGGGAAAAAGTTTTACCATAATATAATTAACTTTTATCATATATGGTGGAGCAACTTCCTACCTCAGTACAAAAAATAATTCTCAATTTACGTTACAAAATTTACTCGGCAGATATTATGGGGAGAATTTACTGCACGCCTAATCTGTTAATTTAATTTTAATTATATAAGAATAAACCGAAAGAGGAGAAAAAAAGGCGATACTAACTTTGTAATTAATGGAGAACAAATGGGAAGATTATCGAGGCAGATTATAGTGGTAACAGACAATATAATTATTGTTTTTGGTGATCATTCAGTACAAAATATTATATATCAGTAATAAGGGGAGATAAGTCGGGATAATTATACTGGTACGTATTATTAGTGATAATATAGGTTTAAGCATTTATGGTACTGTACACACCGAGTTACATACCAGGATTATAGTACGGTCTTCCTACAGGGCACAAGAGGGATAATCTTGTTCGACCATTTATTCCATCGACTGCTACTTTTAATCACACATCTCCTTGTAAAACTTGTAGGGCAAGTGTCAGCTGTAAGGAAGGATAAACATAACACAGACAGTTTAAGTCGTCAGCCATAGTCAGTTCTGAAGGGAAGCTGCTATGACATAAACCAGCTGTCAGCCCTTGTCAGTTCTGAGGGGAGTTGTTCTCCATTAAACTAGACTTAAAGGAAGGAACTAAAATATTTACATACTACTTTTCGTTTACAACAGTTATTCGGCGAAGCTTACGCGAAACAATTATAGTTCAGTAAACAGTGAGGTGTTTGGTACACAGGTTCGATCCCGGGCACGCCTAGTACACACAGGTGTACATGGGTACCTTACTTTACATTTGGGAAATGAAGGCAGTAGAGTACAGTCCCCGGCCACGCTGCTTCTTTCCGTCTCGAGTCTTAACATACAGTGTACTGTGTTCACAGTGTCCCTAACGGCCCGTCATGTCTGTGGGACCAGCATAACATTTTCGAGACAGCGGACTCCGTTATAACCTGAGGTAGTAAGTACTGCAGGTGAAGCCGTGGGTCACAACAACTACACTCCCTCACAGGGGAAGCTGCTACATCACGGAGGGTGTGAAGCCCAACAGCAGCCTGTCAAAGTCTAGAAACAAAACACAGCTCTGACTCTGTTGAAGATCCATTCGTTTTTTTTAAGGGGGAAATACAGACACTGCAGCGCTGGGTCAGGCCCTCAGGTCTGCACAGTTCAGACGGCTTTTCAAGCCCTCACCTGTCTTTTAAAGGAGTGTGTTACGACCCTTGGCCTCTTAGGGTGTAACAATGTCACAAATTACACTTTGTATTATAGGTCCAGGAATAAATCCCACCAAATTATCTCCTCATTACTATGGGGTATATTGAAATTCAATGCAGTGGCTTTACTTACCAAATATATTTTAACAAATAAACAAACAATAAAACAAGTATATCCGGATGTACAAAAACTAAATAAATACAAATTAACACTGAACAAATGAACTACTAAACCGAGTGACAAAACAACGAACATCAACGTAATGATTGAACACTTATTTAGTCTAGACATTACCCAAAACAACGTGGTTATCCAACACACGTAACTCATAAACAAATACGGTATTTATCGTTGAATTCTACAGTATGACTACACACAGTCTCACATATAAATCACTATGTAATACTTGGTGTTCTCAAAAGTCGAGCAAGGTTAACACGGTATACCACTAGAGATATTGGTTTTGTCAGCAAGTTACATAAAGTGACAGAATGATGAGTGTGTGGGGGGGAAAATTCCCGGTACAATTTATCTGTTTATAGCAAAGTGTGGCAGGTCCCTAATAATGTCAAGTGCCAGGCATGTCACTAGGAGGAGCGATATCTGGTCAGGGAGGGAAGAGGTGTTGGTAACGGCTGGGGACCTGTAGGAGGGGGTCATAGGGCAAATGGGGATGTGGTGAAAGAGAGTGTGAGAGTCTGTTGACCACAAAGTTTACAAACAGTGTGGCCAGGCTCAGGGATGCCAATGTACTAGGCGTGGCGAAGTACAGTGGGGGTGGTGGGGCAGGTACAGTAGGGGTGGAGGGAGGCACATAGGCATTGACAACATTGAGGGACACACCTTTTAGTGTAATTGTGATGGTGTGTGCGTCGACATGTCGGTGGGGTACAGGTAGACGGGGGTGGTGTCCTCAGGTCCAGGTAGCCCTGGTGGAGACAGCTCAGACACAGGAGTGGGCGCGGCTTG